ACTCCTTCAGGAAAACCCTGAGGAACTCAGAGTGGAGTTCGAACGATGTTCTCCACTTTTGGAAGTTAAGTTTCGTCCAAATCATCCTCCTCCTGTAAGGGAACCGCAGAATCCGCTCAGTGATTCTAAGCGTTTTTCTTCGACAAGGTTTTAAAACATGCAAAAGCGGCCTATGATTGAGCTAACAATATGTGATAGATTCTCGATTTTGTGAGAGAGATCCTTCCACTTACATTCTCAGTATTGAATAATAATTCCTTCTTTCTATATTCTCAATACTGAATACTCTATGCTTTTCCATTTGTTGGCAGATTACTTTCCATATTGCGAACGATTGTGAAGATTGAAAGCACAAATTTCAACTGTTCAAGTAGCGTCAAATGTCTCTCTCTTTTTTAAATCGGATGCAGAATCCTAGTGCTAATCTGTTTGCGTTAGTTTGCTGTACGTAAATATGAATACACAAATAGATCAGGTCTTCCTTGTTCCCATAGGAGCCGTAGCGTATCACAAAAGTGCCGTGGACGTTTTTTTACTGTGCTTAATGATCAATTCTTGATCGAAAAAGACTCACTGCTTGCATTTGCCTTACTGTAAATCATCGATTTTTCCGTAATTCCGAGAGAAAATTTCCTGCAATTTTTTAAATTTTTAACCCTGCCCATGATTTGACCCCTTTTTTCATGCTGATACTTGATAGACGGAGTTAAGTTATTCAATTTTTGATTAGAAAGAAACAATCCAGAACCTAAGGATAGCCAAGAGTTAGCGATGTTAGTGATACACAAGACAGCAAAGAATAAGGTGCTATCAGATAATTGATAATTAAATTTCTAGTGTTAGAAATGGTAATTTTGAAATAACAGAATTTTTTTAGCAAGATATAAATATTGTAAAGTAGCTACAAGTAGAATCAAATAAAACTGATCACTTGTTAATCTTTGTAATTAGTGCTAAAGTACAAGTGAACCATAAGCAACTAAGCTGCAATTAAAAGTGGTGTTTGTGGATTTTCTAGCAACTGTTATTAAAGTAATTAGTTCTGAGCCATAACTCTTGTCTTTTAGGGATAGTCCGCGCATTTTCGAAATAAAAGCTATCATTACCCCCCTCCCCCATCTAAATCACTTTCGTAATGGTCCTTCCCTTATCACTCGTGAGCATAACTCATTTAGAGCAGCTGATAATTTTGTCAGCACCATCGACTACTGCCGACCGCTGCCCCATATAAAGCTTACATGAAACTCCGAAAGCGATGATGTGGAAAAAAGACCTAAGTTAGCAACCAACCAACCGCCCTTGTAGGGTGGATTTTTAAATTAGCACACGGTCGTTCAGCATTCAGCGTTGTTGAGGGCTTCCTGATGCTGGATAGTGTTGGCACACGAAAACAGTAACCTTCTCTATTTGCTTATCTTAACATTCTCTTTTCTACCTTATTTCCCCTTTTCTCTCTTGTCCCTCCTTCTCGGGTCTTCTCGCGTTTTCTTTTCAGACAGAGAGAGCAAGCAAAACTAGAGTAATTCCGGGTACCTTTTCACCAATCATTCATTCATCAGAGAGAGCTTAGTGGAGGGATTAAGGCACCATACCATATATGGTCAAATTCAAGATGGCGGCTGATTCAGACAGCCAAAAAAGGAAGCGGCTGGAAGGAGCACACTATAAAAACTCTGAGCTGCCATAGGAAGATGAGCTACCAACTCTACCGAAACACCACGTTGGGGAACAGCTTGCAGGAGAGCTTGGACGAGTTGATACAGGTAAATTATCTTTATTTGGTCGGCTACAACAAGAAAATGCTTTCAAGGGTAGTTTCTTCGGGAAGGAACAGAGGGGCTGGTTGAGTAGCCACGTTCGCTTAAGTCTGTAACTTGATTTTCCAATTCAATCGATTTGAATTTAGAGACCTGCAGTTCCAGAGACACTTGAAATTTGCCTCTTTTTGTAAGATTCTTTGTTTCATAAGAGTGTGAGGCAGAACCAAACAGAACTCGAGGATAAATTTCTTTTATTGCGTATTTCTTTTGTGAAGTCTTAACCAGATTGTGAACTCTGGCACAGAATGTCGTCTTCAGCTGGTTTCTTCATTTCTTCTCGATACGCACACTTTCTTCATTTTATCTACGGCACAATATTTCCTCAACATATTAAATGAATATGAATATTTTCGATGTATTCTGGTCGAAGCTGATAGCCCCCTGAAAAAAAATACAGTAGTCACGTTGACTCTCTTTGTTTGAAAGTGAAAAACGCCTTCACGAAGACTCTAATTTCATTTGGGTTGAAACTTTTTCTCTTTTTAAATGTTAGGCGAGCTACTCCTTGCCTTTTTTTCTCAGTAAGTTTGTATTCTCTGGTATGTTCTGTATTCGTATGAATTTTATGTGCGACATAAATTTGGCCACGAAGCCCCAAACTTGTCGTCGATTGTCACTAGCGTTGCCGCAAAGAAAAGGTGGCTTTACACTTTCACGGGGGAAAAAATGAGGGCTTATAGTCCGCTGATCCAACAGAGCAGTGACAGCCTTCTTCAGAATATTTGTGTGCTATTGCACAGATCATGTAAATACCAACCTCGATCGACCCAAATAGTTTCGAATCTTTTCAACAACATTGCTGAATTAATGTATTTGATAATTTTGCCCTGTCTCCCGGATTAATACCAGTCGCTAATATCATATTGGGTTTTAAAATTACCAAATAGCAAAGTGTAGCTTGTGTTGTCTCAATCAGAATATAAAGGGTGTTACTAGACTGTGGATCAACAGACCACAGAAGCTGCAGAACCTTAAGAAACAATTATTCTTTGTAAAATAAACGTAATCAGATAAAATAAAAAGTAAAAAGACCTTAACGCTGTCTGAAAGTTCGTTTTTGGGTATAAAGAAGAATACTTAAAAGGATAAATATGTTTCAACTGTCCTTGACGTCCTACTCTAATTGTGGCAACATTCACAGTACTCGTACAAGGGTATGCAATGTTCTCCTTTTCAGGCAGTAACTGGTAGCATTTACTGCCTTTAGTACCTCTTATTACTGTTTAAAATTGCTTGGAATTCTTGAAAATTCAACAGGTAAAAGGATTGCTTTACCGGTTTGAAAATTTATTTTACCTGTTGCGCTTAAAATAAGGGAGAACACTGGTATGTAATGTCAGTAGGAGCGATTAGCAGTCACCTACCTTGAATGTCAATAACTGAACCATAATTTGAAAGCTTTAAAGGTTTTGGTACTGCAGTATCCTAATAACACCTCATTTGAAGGTTCTTAACAAACCTTTTGGCTGTAATTCATTGTACATGACCCTGGAATGAGGAACTAAAGCATAAAGTAACATTGTTGCTTGTGATGACAGTAGAATTTCAGGGTGGTTGGGGCATCTGGAACGAATTTACTGCATGAACATATTTGTTTTATTCAGAGTGATCATTGTGTGAACTTGGCACCCTGTGGTTGGATGTCAAAGAAATAAAAAAGAAACTTATTTATCATGTAAAAGTTATCTTCTTTAGACCTGAAAACAAAATCTTGAATAGTGCTAAGGTGTTTTTAGTTTCTTTTTTATTTCATAATTTTTTGTAAAAAAAAATTAATGGTACCACAGGTTCCGGAGGTTCTGGAGGTTCCACAGTCTGCTGATCCATTGTTTTGTAACACCAGAATATGAATTTATACAGCTTGCTTTTTATTTGCTATTCAACTGAAAATTGTTGTAAAAATTACCATTTTTTTGCTTTTAATCAATAGTAACCAAATTTTATAGAAATGTGGAAATCTTTCATATTATTTGTTTAGTTAGGAAAAATGTTGTTTTACTTCATAGTTATCCCTGAAGATCCAACAGGTAGTTTGGCAATTGTATAAACATACAAACAGTTGTAAGCTATTTATGAAAATTTAGTGATAAACTATAACAACTAACAATTGACCATACATCAGCCGCATGTTCATGGGGATATGAAGCACAGGGGAAATTTTGAGAGCACAAGAGAAGAGAGAGGGTTGCTGGAGAGCCAGTCTAGCTTCTTGAGTGCTCTCAAAACTTCCTAAGTACTTCACTTCTCCATGAACCCACAGCTGATGTGTGAATAACATTGTCAATGCAGTATTTTGAAAGTTATTTCTCGAAATAACTTAGAACTTTCCAAATTGATTATCCTTCTGTTGATTTACTTTTCATCTAGAGCTCCTAAACAACTTTGTTAATTAGGATGGAATAGAAAAACCATCTTGAAAATCTCAAAACTTGTGGCCAAACTGGTTGGAAGTGCAGGCAATCATAGAGGAAAATTAGTAGTCCAAGGCATTTGTTTGCTGACATCAATAGCATGCAGAATATGATTATGAAACATGTTTGCACCTTTGTATTTGGTTACCTCAATTTGCTCGCTATGTTTTAATATCATATGTTCAGTTCTCCTAACCAGTGAGTGTTCTTTAGAGTGTAGCAATATTTCTTCAGAGAATCTAGATACTAATCACTTGTGTCGTTATTAGAAAAGTGCATTTAATTTATGAAAACGTAGTAAGCCCAAGCGACAAGATTTGTTCACTAACCATATTTGTTATCCCATTTTCAGTCACAACAGATAAGCCCACAGCTAGCTTTGCAAGTTTTACTACAGTTTGATAAAGCTATTAACCATTACCTCTCCAGTAAAGTCAAAAGCAAAATTTCTTTCAAGGTAGGTAAAATATGCCTTGTTTTTTATTAACACAAGTAACACATATTACTGACATATACTCAGTTGCTCAGTTTCCCTTCTTTTTCAGGGTCACTTGAACACATATAGATTTTGTGACAATGTGTGGACCTTTGTGCTCAATAAAGTAGAATTCCGAGAAGTAGGAGAACTTGTCCAAGTGGACAAAGTGAAAGTAGTGGCATGCGATGGAAAAGGTTTGTGTAGTGAAATGGCTTTTGACTAGAAGCTACTTATTCTTTAGTTCTAGGTACCATCTTCTAGGGGATCTGGAGTGCCTCTCTGAAACATAGATCACTTAACTTTTCTTATTGCCATTCAACTTCACATTTATGAAAGGTTTCATTCCTAAAAAGTGGACTATATTGGGTTTTCAACAAGAAATTTATAGATGTACGATCAGAACTGAGTAGGTGGTTGAATGTAAACATGACATGCACACTCTCTTGAGGGGTCTGGTGGCATGCTCCCCCGAAAAATGTCTTAAATTGAAGCTTTCCAAAACGTGATTTTCAGCTTTCTGGGCCATGGGTGAGTAAACTTTTATAGCCACACATTGAGGCAAGAATCAGTTCAAAAATACATATTTTGTGTCTTTTCACAATTTACAAAGGAGCTGACCCAAAATTTTCCCTTGGCTACTGAGTTTCCACTGCCTACCAGTTGCTAATAACAACCTTAAATATGTGACTGGTTCCTTTCATTATAACCATATAGTAAAAAACAATTTCATTGCCACAAGACTCTAGAAAGGCACAAACAACAGTCAGATCTTGTAAATGAAAAATTATCCCTCCTTAAAGTTTACCAAGGTTACGTCAGTTTTTATTTTTGTTTTTCTTTCATTGCAGCATCAGCAGCAGATGCTGGAGGTTCCTGATGATGACTCAACATTTCCTGATCCTCTCACTAAAAAACATAGAAGTAACATCTGTTCCACAATGATCAGTTTTGTCCCTTTTAACCTTCAAAGCAACTATTACAAGCTGCTGTAACCTACAGGGCTCCACACATATGGTTACAGTTGTGTACTTTTTGTCAACTGCATCAGTGTTGCAAAGTCAACAAGAAGTGTACATTAGATTTAGTCTTTGTAATAAGTAGATCCAACAAAATTAGAGCAGGATCAAGTTTTCCAGAGCTACAAAAGAGGACTAATTTCTTGTTTATTATTACAGTTTTCAGTTCAAACATGCACTTAGAAGGTGAACTCTTTTAGTTATAAGTAACATTGAACAAAGCAGAGCAGAAAGGAGATTCCAGTTAAGTGTGAAATATACCACAATCACTAAGCTTTATATTTCTGCTGTTATCTTCCATAGTTATGTTTAAACTTTTTCTAGACACAAATTACATCATATGCAATAATTTCACTAGAGTCTTTGAAGCTGGGTACAAAAGTGTTCAATAAAGTTTAACAATTATCACATTATTTTTGTCATCACTCCTGACTAGCACTCCATTCTTAGTTAACATTCCTCCTTGCTATACAATCTTCTGGAAAATTGCTTGAAGTTAGCAGTCAGGACTTACATTCTAAAACTTGCCCTTTTTTCAGTTTCAGAGAGAGTAAAATGCTTTGGAACACCTTAAAAAAACTTGTGATTTGTTCTGTTGCAATTACATCTTACATTTATTCACCATAGTCAAGTCACAAAGAGTGCCATGAGTTGGGGAAAACTTAACTTGCATCTAATTTCTCTGCACAAGATCACCCCTGAGTCGAACAAAGTCACAAGAATAAAAAAAAATGATCACAAGTTATCCTTATCAGCATCTTAGGAAATGTATGGAGAATGAGCATACTGCTGTTAGGATGTACAGGATGAATAGAACCCTTGACTTTAACAATGATAAGCAGTATGCAAGTAAAGCTGTTAATAAACAAACAACATTGTAACTGGTACTTCAATCAACAATGCAGATGAAACTAATGAAGTTTATTTTCCAATTTACAAATTTTCAAACTTACTGTTTATATCTGGTATGTACAATCATGGTTGCTGTTGTTTTTATAAAATATTTTTTGGCTTTGTCTTGGTTTGGATCAATTCTTCCAACCATTGCTTCAAAATCATGGAAGTCTCTAGTAGTATTGTGACTGAGTTCTTTGTTCAGTGTAACACAGCTTGTAACATGCATGAAATATATTCCCAGGAGCAATCAATACAGATATTCTTCCTCATCATCGTCATCAAAACCTTCAATCTCTTGTTGCAGTACATTCTGTAAAACAGATCTAAATTATATTGAGATAAAAGGAAAATGATGTCAGAATTAGGTCACTTTGAAAACATAAAATAAACTTTGGAGTGAGAGATTTTGTGAAGAATTATTAGCATGGTGGATTGGGAATGGAAATGTCTTGGTTTGAGAGTGAATAAGAGTCATTGAGTTATCTCTATGGGAGACTTGACAAAATTTTATTCTATTAGTGCCCCTCTCTTCACCAAGGAAAACAGATTAGTACTGCAAAAATAATTGGGAAAACTTTAGAAACTGCTGCCAAGAGGTTTCCTCAACCTGGGATGGATTGCAGCTTGAACAATTCCATCCAAGTGGATTTACAACTCTCCTGGTCATTTCAAGCTACAAGAACTGGGTGACACCTCAGCATTGATGGGGCCGCAGATAAAACATAACACAGATAAACTTAATTTAAGAAGAGTTTAACCTAGTATCCTTCATTCCAAGGACAATTTTGAACTAAATATTTGAACACCCAAATCTTACCTAGAAATGTCCAGATCAACATTATTGTTTTGTTGATGCATATTTGATATTGCATTCAGTAACTGCTGACCTATTAAATAATAAAAAATGTATCATTTAATACAAAAGGATTTTCAAAGTACTGTACCATTACATAAATATTATGAAGTATACTGTCCACATTATCAAGAGAAAAATCTGGAACCTAAACCTGGTTTTGCTCCTATATGCTCTTTAAACCTAAACTCCCTCTATCTCAATGGTAATTCTCCTTAGTTCCTGCTGCACAATTCTTTTAAATGCAGTTCTGAGAATTCAGAGTTAAATCTATATAGTCCCCTTGTTGATGTTCTTCTTTATTCTCATTGCCCTTCTGCATGATATGGTATTGATATTGCAGAGAGAAATTACTCACTGATCACTGGTTGGGGTTACCAGTAGGAAAGAATAAATAGGTAATATATTCATCTGGAAAAATCAAAATGTAAAACTTAAACCAACTGTAATAAGCATGCACATCTATCCTCATACATTGTATTAAATACACTGATCAACTTGCAACAAGAATTTTGTGGATTCAGTTTTATTCTGATCAATTGAGATTAAATACTGTGACTACTTGAACAATAACAATGATGACTAGAATTGATTTCACTCACTGTAAGCAGGTTCATCATCATCCATATCATCTTCATCTTCTTCTTCTTCCCCTTGATAAATGTCATTATTCCTATAAAATCACATGTTTGAACACCAAAGTTGACTTAATACTCATCTATTTGTAGCAAAATAGTAATTTTTGAGGAGGCCTCCTTTAACTAGTTTCTCATTTCTCCTTACCATATCACCCCTAAATCAAACAATAAGGTCATGAAAATAAAGGGAATGATCACTAACTAAAGGAACTCTTGATTGTAAAGCAAATTCTCCTTGTCAGCACCTTAGGAAATGTATAGAGAACAGTATGGAGAATTAATATGCATTCTAATGTTAGGGTGCAAAGGGTTGACAAGACATGATCTTGTTTTCATACTCATTCAGTTTAAAAAAATGTATCATTGGTCAATAATTATTTTAGCACTTTGCCTGTTGATGTACAAGTACTGTTCAAAGAGGTTTCCTGTATTATTGGTAAGAAAGTAGTTGGAATACTTTTGCTGAACATATAACAATGATTTTAAAAATCATAAAAATATAAACTTCTTACATCTCCGTGGTTTTTAGTCCTTGCAGTGGGATATGATTGACTTCATCAATCTTAAGGCTGGATGATGAAGACTGAAACGAAAAATTGTGCAAAAAAGATTGTACTTATACTTGATTTGATATCAAAAACTTTCCAATTAAACAAACTTAGTCCATTTTCACAGTTCATCTTATCAAAACATTTTGGTAGTGACACTTCCCCTTTACATTTCTGCTTTGCGAGAAAAAGATAGTATTGGCTTTTATAATTTTATCGCTTGAACGAGGTTTGATCCGTGGAAATAACAACGTACACCTACCACTTGAGAAGTCTTGCTAAACAGTTCCATGGTTGTCTGTTGGGGATTCACGCTGTCTTGCTCTAATAACTTCATAAGGGCCATTTCTTCCACCTGAAACAATTTAGTTAGTGACAAAACGCTTCGATTCTTGAGCAAGGTAAACTAAAAATTTGGAAATTCAGTAGAGACTTCACCTTCAGCTTGTTCAGCTGTTCCATTAGCTTAGCCTTTTCTTCTCTCAGAAACGCCTCTTCCTTGAGGAGAATTTCATTCTGCAACTTCTCTAAAGATGCCATGAGATTCTATAAAGGTTTAAGATCAGAAAATGTCGCAAAACAAAATTTTTTTTTGGTCGGCGGCCATCATTGTAAATAAATGCCAGGCGGCAGATTATAACGAGTGGGAGCTGGATCCTAGGACAGACTAGTGAACATACATAACAAAATGCCCCAAACAGGGCGATTGGGGTGATTTCACTGACTTGGTGTGTCTAAAAATCCTTGGGGAAGTTGGGTTTATTAAGAAAGGACTAGTGGGTAAGTTACACTGCGAAAAAGCTATAATTTCCCTCTTAAGTATAAAACGCACTTGATTTAAAAGGGAACAACGTTGAGGGCAAAGTCTCAACAGAAATTTGCATTGTCGTTAAAGTCACGCAATAATACACACCCAGGCGGATGGCATTCCTCTCTTACAAAGGAGGACATAAGTTGGGAAAAAAAGTCCAATAAGTTACGATGGAAACTATCTGTCACCGTTCAGTAATAGGGAGTGAAGTCGTGTCTCCCTCGTGACGCAAGACGAACACAAAATCATCGTTTCCTCGCGGTTTTGGGATTAGGTCGTTCGTATTTCCTAAGGCTGTGTTCGCCACGGAATCTTCGTCATTATTGAATTTAAAATAAGTTGACTTCTATTTAGCTTTCTTTCTTTAATTTTCTTAGCTTCGTTTAAATCCTCTTTTGATTATGTCGAAATATCTTGCAACAGTGAATTAAAAGAGCCATCTTTACTTCATAGATTGCAACCTCTAATTTTAATTTTGCAGGTGACTGATTTTGGATCACGTTCCCCAATAAAAAACCTTTAGAATAGTTTCACCTCCAAGCTCAAATTTTACTTTCAATACCTCTATTTCAGTACAATTTCTCTTGGTCAAGTTATTTTTGTAAATTAGAAACTATTTAACGATTCAAAAAGCGATTCAATTTAGTGATCTTGATAGAACCCATTTGTGCATATTTTAGATCAGTTGCTCTCTCAACGGTCCATGTCCTCGATGCTTAATTATCTGCACGTAGGTTTTTATCAGATTCTGCTTGTCGCCTAAAAGTTTATTTTTTTTTTCATTCTCCTATCCAGCCATGCCGAAGCCCACAGTGTTTGTCCTTGGCTGCAGTGGATCTGTGGGGTCTGCCACGGTGAGAGCTCTGTCTGAAAAGTACTCAGACAAAGTTAAAATCCTAGCTGGAACCAGAGACCCAACATTAGAGAGGGCAGTCGTGTTGAAAACCCTACCAGGAGTGACTGTCCTTCGAGCTGACATGAATGACAAAGAGGGATTGCGTGAGCTGTTACGTGGCGTGATGTCTTTGTTTATTGTGACCCCAACCAATGGCTGGAAACTTGCGATTGGAGCAGCACTGGAAGCCAAGTCATCTGGAGTTAAGCACATCCTTACTGTGAGTGTCCTTACTGTCGAGATAACCGATTCCATCTACGGAAAACAGTATGGCGAGCTGGAATCAAGTGTGAAGGATCTAGATATACCATACACCTTTATTCGCCTTCCTCCTTTCGTTGACAACTATTGGGGCCACAAACAGTCTATTCAAGAGAAGTCATCATTTAGTACCCCAGGGGACCCAACTAAACCTTTCTCAGCTGTTGTGGTAGCTGATGCTGGGTGGGCTGCGGCGGCAATCATGGTCGAACCAGAGAAGCATTATGGAAAGACCTACAAGTTGATAAGCAATCGCCATACTCTGGGAGAGCTTGCTAGCACTTACAGCGAAGTCTTCGGAAGGAAAATTAAATATGAACGAATCTCTTACGAGAATTGTAGAAAGCGTCTCATCAATGTGGTTGGTTTTAGTGAAGAGGACGCCGATGGAATCTTAGAAATCTACCGGATGACGGATGAAGAGAATCCTTTGATCGATGATCCCGATATGACACACTTCACCAAGATCACTGGCGAAGAGCCTACTACTTTAAAGGAGTGGGTGATTGAGGTAGCTGCAGCCTTCAAGTGAATGAGTTTTACTATTAAGGCATTGTTCACTAAGACTGATATAAACAAAATAAAGCTTTTAAAAGAAAATGAGCTTGAAATTTCTACATGCGAGCGCTTCCCCTCCTTGTTGTTGAAAAAAATTGGTATGAGCGCAGCAGTTTAGATTATGCATACACTTACTATCACGTAAGAGAAACCGATTAAGCTGGTGGAAAACCTTGAGATGACACGCAAAGAAAATAGTTTGGAGGTTCAAAATCTTTCCCTTTCAACCCTGTAGGTTGCGTCAAACGAAAAGGTCACATCTTGAATTATTTCCAAAGGCATCCTTTTACGTCCCGATCGTACCGGAAGTTGACAAATGTGACGTGATTAGGCGGATCAATTTCGATCTAAACAGCCTGAAGTCAGCCTCTTTAAATTTCAATAATGAAATTTGTGCCAACTTTCTTGAAAGAGATACGACTCCTTGTGAGCGAGCAAGAGTTTGTGAGTGTTTGGAAAACAAAAAACATTAAAAAAAACCATAAAAAAAACAAGACGTTACGACTTCGTTTCTCGGAACAAAACTTATCTAATGTAATATATCTTCTTTGTATTTAGTTCTTTAAAACAAAATGGTCAAATAACTTAACCTTAACCCTACCATTCAGTTAGAGCTTAGTCTGCAAAAAAATTACCTCTTAATTGAATCATCGACAGATGATCAACGACCATGTCCTAATGGCCTCGTTTCATGCAAAGTACTGCAATTGAGTTATACTTCTAAACTTTTAAACAATCCCAATAATTTATCAGTTATTAAGGACTCAGGAATTAAATGCGCCCGATGATTCGAGCTCGAGTCTTAAGTCAGTGGACTTTTCCCACTGGTAACACCATACAGCCTGATTCCAAGCTAGAAATTGTGCAGGTTTAGATAAAACAGCTGCACTAAGTCGTGGTGTTCTGCCAATCCGTTGAAAGATTAGCTCATTCCTCCGTTTTCTTCGTTTAGTGAGGTAGAATATCGCGGCAAGTTGGACAAGTGGCGTGCTACAGAAAAAAAGCAAAAGTAAATTTGTTTTTTAGCGATATACAGTCTTTCTGCTGCCTTAAGCGGTCTAACATATCAACTGATTAACAAATTTTTATAATTTGACACCCTTCTTACTGTATCTATTTTATGTTCTTCTCTTCATTAATATTGTTGTTTTTTTTTATCATTATCGTAATAGGGGTTGAAGCTGTCTAATTTCCAGAAAGAAAAAACGCAGTATTCCTCACTGTAACACCCTCCACGGTAGGAGTTTGAGAGAATGTATTCTCCAGAAACGGGCTCTCCCCCCCCCTAGCTCAAGGTCTGGATCCGCTACTGTTCTGTACGTTAAAAAGCGGTTAATTTTTTGCTATAATTATCTGGCAAATACAAAAAGTAATTTGTAGTAACTGTAAATGTGAAATATTTTACCAATTTTAGCCACGTAGTAATGCAAGGAGGGTGGAATAAATGAGAACATGGTAACTCCAGAACTGAGTCATCCTCTTGATAATCAGACCGACAAATGGTACAGGATAAGTTCACGGCTAGAGCAAGTGCAACCAGAGAATAATGTCAGTATGAACTTCGCAAATGTTGGTCGCTTCAAATAAGCGCTACAAAAACTCACCAAGAGATAAGGTAAATTATTATTATCAGCTGAGTTTATAGCGGAAATTGGCCACCGTAAAGGGTTTAAAAGCTAACGTTTCGAGCGTATCCCTTCGTCAGAGCGGTTGGAGGAATTGTAGGTTGTGTGTGGGTTCAAATGCAGAAAATCGAGCTACGCTATTGATGGGAATATGGTGACAGGAAAACAAGAATAAATTAGTTAAATGAAAAGCGCTCGCTCGAAAGAGAAATTTTAATTCTAGAGTTTTGCGGCCTTCCGAACTGTCTAGATGTAGGAAAAGGCCGCAAACTGCCATATGCTGCTTAGAATGATTAAGGAGATTAAAGAGTCTAGCGACTGGTTTGGGTGCGTCCTTGTCATTTCTTTCTACGTCGCGAAGGTGTTATCGGAACTGGTCGTCAAGTCGTCTTCCTGTTTCACCAATGTATAACTTTTTGCAATAAGTGCAAGTTAGTTTCATTCAACTAATGTATTCGTGTTTTCTCGTCACCTTATTCCCATCAATAGCGTAGCTCCATTACCGGGTTTCGAAAAAAGACAAAAGAAGGGAAAAGAAAGAGAATGAGTATAGGAAGGAATTTTCCCTTAATCGACAGAAATATTTCACTCACCGACATGATCTTCAGTAACTTTTACTTTGGGAAGTGACTCGATCACTGCTGGCAATGCCGGAGGAGAACCCTCATTCCTCATTTCTGGATGCGCCCTGAAAAACTAAAAACACAAAGTAAACTGCGACATATCCTCCGTTCAAGGTGGATACATCTATTAGATAACACTTGAGTCGTACTACCGCAGATTCATGCAAACATAGACCTGTTCCATCAACAGTTATCTCGCATGGGGAGATTGGGAAAGAAGATCTTTTGCCGGACGATTTTACTCGAACACTTATTTCACCCAGTTTGACGTTACTAATTATGGAGTCTTACGCTTTACACAGGTTTGCTCAGATAGCAAGTAAAATCCCCACATGTTTTATTTCGAGCTACACATTGTTCTCACTTCATTACCTCGACGAGAACACTCAGCAGTAGAGTGGCAGGAGAGACCTACAAACAAACAAGAAAAGAGGGTCTGAAGAACAGGTTACCAAAGCAAATCCTCCCCTTCCCTATGGGTATACACGATACTGCCCTAGAAAGGAATTTGATATGTGTGTCTGTATCACAATCATTTTCACCTGATAGGTACCAACAAAAATTAACAGGAGGCGTTTCAGAAAACTTTTAAAGGGAAAATAGGAGCAGTAACATAATGAGTGTAAGTATACAGGTTCTTGCGCACCTTGGTGTGGAGTAGTGTATTTGGTACCATGCAAAAATCGACCGATTCAAAATTTGACGTATATTCCTCTCCTCTTTTCCCTAATGTGTTATTTCCCACTCTACATACTATTTATTACCGAAATAAAATTATACAATCACCTAACATCTCTTCATATGTAAGGTGAAGGGATAAAAATTAGTTAAACATTTTTTAATCTGATGAAACATGACGCTTCTCGCAAGTCATTGGATTACGGTTGCCTTACCACGGTACTTATCATTGTAGGAGGCCCTAAAATGTTCAACAAATCCTCGAAATCGCCTCCACTCTCCTCCGCATTGGCATTATCATCACTGTTATCATCACAACTGTGATGCACATCAACATCATCATCATGATCCCTACAAATAAAAATATCTCACATCAGAAGACTGACTCTTCAAACGTCCACACCCACAAAGAAATTTGGCACTAAGTGAGCAGAATTTGTTGACAATTCGCCATTTTAAATTACTCGCACAGTTAGAAATAGCACCAGAGCATTGTGGCAAAGAGCAAATTATGTTAAGGCTAATTCAGAAAACTAGAAAAAAAAAACCAGCGAATAGAACCGCATTTGTAAGGGAAGTTTCTGTAGAGCGAGGCGACTACTCAGTGCGATCAATAGCTAATCCATGGCGAGAAACCTTTCCGTATTTCATCAGGTTTCTCTGACATTTTCTAGTCGGCTCATTTATAAATAAGCTCCCGGGTGAAGCAAGGCACTTTGAGGATAAACTAGCGACGGACAATGATCCAGACCAGATGCCCGATTCTCGAAAAAGCCAGTAATTAGCGGTCACCAAAAGCTGCTTTTCTGCTCACCGTAGTTATATAAAAGATCGAGATATCGTTCGCTTTGAAATTCAAACAATGCAGCATCAGAAAATGGACTAGTTTCTTCGCTAAGACCCGAATTACGAACCTTTTAAAGTTAAAAAAATTTAAAATGTCAATCTGAAAATTCGTTTATGGCTTCAAGCCCGTTCAGTAACTGGAACTTTCGAGGTAAGGGCCACAAATCTCGAGACTTAATCTCTATATTCCGAGAACTCTTGTCTCGGAGAACACCACGCGAGCTCATAGGCAACAAAGTGTGAAGAGCCCCACACAAAACAAGGCTACCATGCAACTGACATGACATATTGAAGAGAAATCCTCACCTTACTGGTTCAAAATTGCTAGCCTCGTCTTCCTCACTATCACTGTACAGGTCGTCGCTACCACAGTCTGAGAATAATGAACAGAGTTTATTTAACGCGTGAGCATCTTCATGTTGCAGTACTAAGTTGTTTTTGTTGTTCGTCTTGTTGTTTTTGGGAGGTTTTTTTTGCGCAAATACCCATTCATGTAGGAACCAATAAGCTGTACAATTGTAGCACTAAGATTGATAAATCACTAACTTGTGGGATAGAGAAGATTGTGCCCGATGGTCTCCCTTTTTCTTTCCTTTTCATGATTGTGACATACAAGTAAACCCCAAATTCAAGGATTGCGACCTTGAGTTCACATCAAACTAATTGATAAATTTAGTTAACCATATCTACTGCACATATGAAGGAAGACTTCAACCTCAGATTTTCCTTAATTTTCCTACAATTGCTTCTTTTATTTTCTTTAATTTTCCCACATTTGCTACTTTTATTCTCCTTAATTCTCCTACATTTGTTTTTGCCTCTCAAATTGAATCCAACTTCTGCAGTTTGTCATTGCCATGAACATGGTTTAACATCATCTCTATAATTACACTAGTCGTACCGGAACAGCAACGTTCATCTGGGTTATTAAAACTATCACCATCCCGGTCAGGTTTCCAGTCTGATTCTGAACCTGTGTCTGAGTCACTTAACGACACCAGAGAAGGAAGACTGGCCACGTCAGAGAGACCACAACTTTCATCCATGTCCATGTCATCGTCACTATCATCACTGTTGGCGTAGACAAGACCTAGGAGAGAGTTGTAGTCTGATAACTCAGAGTCTGCATGGTCATCCTTACTGCCATGGTTTTCACAGTTCTCATCATCCTCATCCAAAAGTTCTACAAGAAAAAAAAAACCTCCTCAAATCATCCATTTTAATTTGTACCTTTGACTCCTGAGAGTGACAATATAACCCCTAAATCACA